GGTCATAGCGGGGAGGTCGATAAAGGGCTTTCAGATCGGCAGGGGAGCGTCCAGACTAGCGCGCTGAGTGGACAAACAGCTGATCAGCTGATTGTCGGCTCAGCGCGGCAGCCATGTAAATTTAAATGAAGCGGCGATTATTTAAATCGCCGCTTCATTTTACTATGTCCGGTAGCCTAATCTACGTGCCTCTGTCGCCAGAGGCATGTAGTCTACACGTACCCTAAGATGGTGTATTCCACTTAATTCCGCTACAAACTGTTAAAAGAAGTAGCTATGGAAATCAGCTACTGGTTGGTCACAAGTAAAAACCTAAAGTTTATTTTAAATTCAAATTAAAGTAATAAATGTGCAAGGCTGCTTTTAATTAGCTTTTTAAGATGATAAAGTACCTTATTATTATGAAGGATATCAGAGGGACTGCAAATTATAATGCAACTTCAACTATGAGGCCATAAAAAATATTTTCAGGGACTGTTGATTGTATTTTTTATGAAAAATCTCTCAGGCTGCAGTAGCAGGGATAACCAAATTTCTAAATCATCTTCTCTTATTAGGGTGTAGTTTTATCTCTCTTTTATTAAGCAGGACCAAGAATAAGAAATAAAAACAAGATATCAGATATCTCAGTTTTTTATAGCACAAGATCTTATTCACAGGAACGTAACTAAGACCAAGTCAACACTAGGAAACTATTTAAAAATTAGTAAAATCGATTTAATAACTCCCAATTTAACAAAATCAAACTATTGTGTCCACACTAAGGGGAAGCCTCAAAATTAGCCAGAGGCAAGCTCCATTACTGTAGACCAGTGGTCTCCAACCTTTTTACACCCAAGATCACTTTTTAAGTCTCAGAACAGGTGAAGATCTACTGCCCCACCCCTTCCTTGAAGCCCCGCCTACATTACATGAGGAAATCTAATGTAAACGTACTGCGCAGATGCGCAGTTCAGAGAGGGCTCAAGAGCTACTCTTAGAGCTCCTGAGATCTACCAGTAGCTCGCGATCTACTGGTTGGTGACCACGGGTGTAGACACACTACTTGGGATTTAGAGCCCCGGAAGCACTGGGGACTAATTAGTTCCAATTATTCTGGAGAGTAGTTATTTTAAAACAGCACGTCCACACTACCATTATTTTGAAATAATTATTTTGGAAGTAAGTGTTACTCCTGATGAAAAGCAGGGCTACAGATTTCAAATTCTGCGGCCCTTTATTTTAAAACAATAGGCTTGTTAGTGTGGATGCTACACTCAAATTTGACTTGAGGAAGGGGGGTTATTTTGAAATCAAGTCCTAGTATAGACCAGGGCCAAGTGAATAGAAGACAATTCATGCTTCTTTTTCATAAAGCAGCCCAGTATCTCTTATTTGGTGAGTTGTAACTCACGAAAACTTATGCTCTAATACTCTCAATAAATGTGTTAGTCTTTAAAGTACCAACAGACTCCCCTGTTTTTATTTGGTGAAGTAATTATTGCTATGGATTATTAAAATTATTAGTTTCAATTCTACAGACAGCATATACCCATATTAAAAATTACACCATGAATGTTCAACATCAATGATTTACAAAATCTGTACATCTGTCCACTCCTACCATTAATGTATGTTTCCACTGAAAAATTTGCCAGAGTACCTAAGTGTTTTAGAAACCTAAAGACCACTTAATTTGTCTTTACCCTGCAGCTTCACAATTGTACTGAAGAAAAGGGAGGAAAATACCCTTTTAAAAACTTTTAACCGTTTAAACTGAAATATTTCTTTTAAATGGTTAACCGATTAAAGGGCCGACCAGTCACCATGGCTGGGGCAGCTGCAGCCAGGAAGCTCGGCTTTGGCTGCTCTGGCCAGGAGGCAGGCCTGTGCCAGTGTCTGTGGATGCTCCATTCTGGTCACGCAGCTCTACTCTGGCTCCTCTGGACAAAAGTGCAGCTGGGGGCCACTCTAGCTGGCATGGGGTCAACAGGGTAGTTGGCTCTGTGTTAACGTAGGTTAACTGCTAAGACTAATGCTTGCCAGTTAACCTTTTGCATCCCTAATGAAGACACTTTGTACATCGATGGAAAGGGGTTTTCCATTGATGTAACTAATCCACTTCTTCCGGGGGCAGCAGTTAGATGAACAGAAGAGTTTTCTATCCACCTAGCTGCAGTCACACTGGTGGTAAAATTAACCCAACTAAGGCACTCAGAGCACAACATTTTTCACAGCCCCGAGTGATGTACCTAGGTTGATCTAATTTTTAAGTCCTAATTCACTTAGGCACTTTTGAGAGTTTTACCCAATTACCTTTCCTACCCTTTTCATTGTGAAGATCATATTTAGAAAGTACTTTCTACAGTTTCATCTCTTTGAATCTGAAGAGAGCGACGTACCTCTAAGCCAAGTAGCAACCCACTGAAATTGTTAAAAACTTCCAATTCCACAGCTCAATGGCACCATGGAAACTGTCAGGAATCACAGTCCCCCACCAATATGGTCTCCACTGCTCATGCTAAGAGGAGAACGCTCTCCCATCAGCTGCTTCACAAGATGTTTAGCTGTGACAATATAGCACTTCTGATATTGACCTGGCCTCAGCTTCTTCACTGTGAGAAGCTGCTATCATCAAAATTGGAGACCCCGGTAGGTTTAAAGAACACGATGAATCTGGTAGGGATCCTTGCACCCAGGAGGAGGAGCAGGACATTATTATGCACTCGCTCTTGATGCTTTCTATATTGGATTCTGGCAAACATTGAAAATTCTGTAGCTAGTTGTTGCTTACATTTTTGAAACCTTTCTATGCATGTTAAAAAAAAAAGACCATTACTAATGGAGGGTGGATTGTGCAAATATTGACTTCAGTTGGAATTACTCCTAATCAGTAGCTGCATAATCAAGCACAGAACGTGACATCGCTTTTTTCTTATTGTTTTTGGTAACTGCCAGTAGACAGTGGAACAGCTGTTTTGCCATTACATGAAGAGCTATAGTCACATACTGGATCCATTATAGGTATTATGCTTGGAATTAGACCAAAAAAATAACTACCTAGCCACATTAAATCTACAAAATGAATGCTTAAAGCTATACTTGATGCTGATTTCGAAAGAATTTGCTGCATGAATGCAGTCTGCCTGGACGATAACTATATTGAGCAAGGTTTCTGATGTCATGTGCTAGAGGGATGCAGTCTTCATAAAATTGAAATCATTGTTCAAACTAATTAATCTACCAATATTTTGTTCCATTTGAATGTTGGACTGGAATAGCACGCAAAGTTTTATTGCTAGTTTTCCTACACCATGAAGTTTTACCAATGGGCTGATATACATCTTCCACTGCCACCCAGCCTAGGGAACATAGGCAAGGGATATCTCAAAAATAATATTTAGAATGTACTCTACAAACACTAATTTGTTTTTAGTGGAACCAAATTCAAATGAAAACAAAAGAATACAGGTAACCTTAGACACAATTTTTTGAATGAGTAAACCTGCAACTACACAACCATATGATAAAATGTACTTCAAAGTCTTGTTGGGTCAAAAAGTAAGTTCTCTTTCTCAGTGATTGCCATTTTTGTTTCCAAGATCAGATCTGACAACATTCACAACCCTTTTTGTAACAAGTGACAAACAGATCAACTTTAATTCTATCCTGTCTCTTACCAAAACTGATGTATAAAAGAGAGACTGGATGGCTCAGGAAATTGGTAATGAGATACAGAGCTTTTCATCTCTAGGTCACCCATTCTAAATTGACAGAGGTCACTAGTAATCAAAAGTCATTAGCATTTAATGATTGTTCAGTGCCCTGCAAGAAAGGAGCCAGTGATCACAGTGTACTTCAGAAATGCTACCATTACAATTAGCACCCTTGCTAGAATCTCAGTGGGGAGGTTGAATACTAAGTGTCTATGCAGACTCAACTTCCCTTTTTATCTTAAAGATGGGCCTTACCAACAATTTTATACTGGTTTAACTATTTCAGTGAAGGGTATGATTTTTAAAAACAAAACAGTTACATGTATATAATCTCTAATAAAGCTGCCTTCTACGAATATACTTTATCCCTTCCCTAGAGGAATAACTACACAAACATAAGGCAGCTATATAACAATGGAACTGCATCCAGGAGATTGTTCCCACTTTAACTATTAGTATAGCTAAAATATAGCAAATTTTTCATGTAGACAGATCTATGGTTTCATCATGTTAGCAGGGTTAAGGCACACTGGCAGAGTAGCGGGGAAGCTCACATTACCATTGCTCACACTGTATCTGTTCTATGAATTAAAGACAACTCCCTGGCATATCAAGATGGCAGCCCTTACATTGGGTAAAATAAAACAAAGAGAACCTTAAAAAAATCCTGGGCTAAGTATTGTGATGTAAATGTAATTATGTTCTATAATAGGTAAACTAAATAATAATCTTGGTTTAAACTACAGTTCCTTAAACATTACTACAGATAAAAGTGCAGTTTAAACATCTAAATCGAACCAGCAACTTGGCAATTTGTGTTTATAATGGGAGATTATACCTGGCAGCATTCAGTGAAAGACATGGTTTAAAAACAGAAAAAAAAAAGTTGGCAATGTCTGCTATTAATGATGAATTTCGAAAAGACAGAAAATGAAAGCAAACAATCCAATCAAAGAAAAAAGGAGCATATTGCTTCATGGGCATAACAGACAGTTTACAACTCCCAATCTCTTAAAGAATGATGGAAGTTTTTATTCTGTTTTACTGACCTTCACTTTTCACCAATGTGAAGTTCAGGGTATATAAAATGGCCAATTTGTGATA